TTAAAAAAATTTATAATAGAGAAAAAGAATACTCGCCTTTATCGTAATATTTAATCTAAATTATAATTTTTCTAAAAATATTTTTTAAAAAAATTCTTAAAAAATCTATAAGTCTTAAAACCGTCGATCTACGATTAAGAAGATTCTTCACGCGTTTTTATATCTAAATTTATTAAGTGAGAATAATTTCTTCTTAAATTTAGGCTAACGATCTTAATAGAATAATTCTTATTTTCTACTTAAAGTGTAAAAAGCGAATTTCTTTAATAGATAAAAAAGATTTATTTTTTTCGCGCTACGCGGGTAACTCTAATAACTTTTTTCTCTATATTATATTCTAAATTTTTATTAATATAAAAAACGAAGTTAATTATTAATAATATTATTTAATTTATCTTAATAGAATTCTCTTTTATTTTATATAGATGTTCTATTCTTCTATTCTTCTATAATACTTACTAATAATAGAATAGATTTACCACGACTTAACTATATCACGCGACGTATATATGCGACGCGATACTCGATATAGTCTAATTTCTTTAGTGTGAAAGTGTGATTACGCGAGACCGTCGGCCTAGGGGAAAAAAGTTTTACTTCTGGACGCGTTCTTAGTTCGAGGCCAAATGAGGTCTGGTCGAAAATGGCAGTGAGGGTGTGCCTGGAATGTTACTGAGCGGCCTGAGCGGCATCGGAGGTGTCTGGGAAAGGGAAGAGCGAGTCAGCGCGCAGGTTGTCATGAGAGGAGACAGGATTTTGCTGAATAGCATCATTGACTCAGTCAAAAGGATTTTGTGACCGCTTGGGCCACTGGAAATATCTTGGGCCGTGTTCTAGATGGTAATCCTATCAGAGATTCCCTTATCAGTTTCAGTCAATGTTTGTGCCAGGGATCCACTTGCACGAAAACATGGCGTGCTTAATGGCTGGATTGGAACGAAGCTGTTTCGCGGGACAAGACTTGACTTTGACTATGAGGCCACAGTGTGTTGTAGCGTATGCCACCACGATTGAGAAGAGGATGTGACTTCTCGCTATGAGGCAACCGATTATTTTTGGGGTATGCCACCACCACCCTTATTTAGGGTGTAGATTTATGCTATGTAGTAAGACTGATTGGATCAAATTTGTCCCAATTTCGGCAGAGCGCGTGAAGCTAGGCGAGGATCAACCCGTCAAGCCTGTGCCTGATTTTAAAAGCCTCAAACCCCACCTCTAAGGTAGTCCAGTAGTCCTCTAACCCTCTACTGCCAGTCAGTTCATCCAGAAGTTCATTGTTGTGCCTTCCCTTGCAATCATGACCGACGCTGTTTCCAGGAACCCGCGCCTTCCTCGGCAATGGCGTGATCACAAGCGTCATCATAAGTAAGCATGAGCACCACCGAATATCTCCATCCAGCCAGCATTTAAAGAAAGGCGTCGCCACAAAGAGCCACGCACGTTAACACTCTTTGCCACGCTTAGAGCGAGAAAGGTGTTCTCACTTTAGGCGTGAGAAGACTCGCCATGGGCAATTGATCATCCTCCAATTGTCGAGTTGCAGCTGAGCTGCAGCTGCCAATGATCCCCAAGCCGGCAACGTTTCGAAGCAGCCCCCAACCGTCATGTCGGTAGCCGAACTTGAATTTCAAGATGACTACATGAATTCATAAATACGCGTAATTCATCCTCGTACAGCGAGAGGCAGCGCACACTCGATGGGTCTGGTCTCCTCCTGCCGACCATCTCGGAACCGAGGGCATTGTCGAGAAAGATGTTGCGTGTGGCTGGACGTTCCTGAGTGACGAGGAAGAGTCAATCAAGGATGAATAGCTACAACCTACAGGAGCCAGTCCCTGGCCTGTAAGCGCTAGACCTGCCAATTTACTAGAAGCAGGTACAAAGCTGAATGTAATGCGTGTCATTTAGAGTTCGGTCGCCGTGATTAGATTACTGGCAGCTGCGGATACGGCTCCTCTTCTCACCAATGACTATCAACACTATCCTTTGCGTCTACGCTTTTACACGCACTATGCCGCATGGTCAAGTCTTCCCGAGCTCTCAGACTTGTGAGAGTGAAAGGGATACGGGAGTACACTGTCTCAGTTTGATTGCTCTCGCTTTCATTTGACTCCACTCAGAAGGCAGGGAACTGTTTCTGGCCAATATGATATGTCATAACTTTCTCCAACCACTGCTCCTCGGCATCTGAGCCTTGTGAGCATTCACATATGCACAATGTCATTAGCCCCGCTGTTTCGTCTCCATTCTCCTGAACAAGATTTCCTCTGCAGGTTTGAGTTGTGGATTCCCATTTTAGATGCTCACGGGTATGCACTGCAATCTGGTAGTGCCGGTGTATATGCAAAGCTAATGCACGGGGTGCGCGCACGCTGGACCCACATCTATCAAGAATCGAATTGATACTGGCGGTCTTTGCAACGGATTCCTTCGGTATGCACTTATGTGGGATCTCCCTACGCCAATCAGCGGGATGACCGCTCACCGCTGTCCATTACCCAGACCCCACGCACTCGAAAGATCCTCCCAATGCGACGATGCTCGCCAGGAATGAGGTGTATCTGGAACCTCAGCAGATCCAATTTTCCGCTGATCCTTGCCCTACGGCATCACGGCTGCGTCAGGTGCAAGTGAGGGAAAAGAGTTGCGTGACAATCTTTCAGACCCTGTTCGGCCGACAGGAGCTGTGGGAGTTCCACTGGAGCTTATATAAGGGAAGCTTCAGGTAGCTCAGGATCACCCACATCTTGCTTGACCTTTTCTGCTGGCTCACATTCATCTCGACCGTTGTTACTAACAGAGCAGGAGAATCGTTAATCAAGATGCAACTAACAAGACTGGCATGGCTGGGAGGTTTCCTTAACTTGGCCTTTGGAGAGCCACAAGGTAAGTGGAAAAGTGATTCTCTGTCTTACCCTCAACGTGGAAGAATCGGATTTCAAAGAGAGGTTCTGCTTTGAGCGGAACTCATCGATTGGAGCCAAATACTCTGTGTTCTTTGTGTCGATTTGTTTTCTTGGAAGAGACTTAAGGCTAACTTACTTGAAAGGTTACGGCTATGGTTATGGCGGCTTCTCATTCCCCAGTTTGAAAACTACGGGTACTGGGACCAGTCCGCCCACTCTCTCCACTGGTGTGAGTGGCACCGCTCCCGGTACCACTGTCCCATCAAGATCTGCTCCTTACGGGAACTATTCATCGAGCTCCTACTTCCCTTCAGGCACCGCGCCGTTTTCCACTGGAAGTTCAAGCACCAGTGCCGACCCCAACACCACTACCATCAGTGGCAGTCCTACTCCATCCGCCAATGCCACATATGGTACAGTCAGCGGGGCTCCATACAAGACATCCAATTCTAGCATCTCAGGATATCCAACCTACTATCCTTCTCACGGGCCATATCCTCTCCCATCGTCTTTGTCGCGTTCTACTTCTTACCCATCGGGCACCATAGGCAGTGCTGTCTCTACCAAGGTCTCAGGTAACACAACAACCATCGCATCGACCGGAGACCCTTCAGCAAAGAAAACCATCGCATCCACCGGAGATCCATCTGCGAAGACCATATCAGCCAGTGGCACCGCCGGATCAACAGGCCTCGCCTCAGCGCCATCGTCCTTCGTCACGTACACCGCTCCTACGGGAATCCCTTCCGAGTACTACTTTCACCACAAGAAGCCCAAGCGTAGTGTAAGTCGCTAGCCGTCCTTCCATGAGCCGAAAGAGATGAGAGGTATACTGATGGAATTTACACAGGCTCACTACGGCGGCGGCTATGCCTACTACGCTTAAGGCCTACCCTGCAGTCCTCGACGATGCTTAGGCCTGACTTCGCAATAGTGATATTGAAGGGAATGCTTGTGGGTATGCAAATAGAGGTAGCGTCAACAACAGAAGCAACGAGTGATGGATATCAGTACACAGACATCATTGCATTGCGCTTTCTTTTCTCGTTCATGAGCATTGCAGGAGCAGAGCATACATGGCCACAGCACATCTGTTTTCTCTCATTGCAGACACCACTCTTTCATTATGCTGCTTTTTACACATCCAATTAATGTACCTTCGATTCTTCACGCAAAGCAACAATTTGATCAAGGACTAGACTTAGTTGAGGTCGTGCGCAATACACGGACTGTTTACGTTGATGGGTGCTTGATCATGCTTGGCAATGTGGAATCAAAATGTGACGTGTAGATGATTCCGCGTTTGAAAAGGAATACATCGAGTAGTGGAGTGGCTAATGGGAAGGTGATACAGCGAGGATGTAAGGGCAAAGTGGAGGCTTACTGGCCAGCTGACAGCGGCTACTTATGCATCACAAGCAAGATGGAGTGACTTGTAGGATTCTATTGATCAGTCTAGTAGCAAATGCAAGCTTTTGTAAATGTACACGTTCCATCGAAAAGTCTGCCGAGAAGTGAAAGATGCTGTCGGAAAAGGCTGCCTGCTCGTGCATGCACACGGAGCGAAGGATGCAGAAGGGTTGTACGTTGTGCATCCCTCTGCTAAGCCATTGGGAAAAAGGATTAGTCTGCGCCATGAACGAGTCCGTTCCGTGAAGATGAAGAATGCTCTGGCAGCCATGATCGCTTCTCCGGTGGATGCAGACAGTGTAGGATGCTTCTCGTAACATAAAGACTAGCTAGTATTAAACATCGTCAAGGACCTCGTCCAGAAGTGAAATTGATGTGATCGTCGAGACTTGCTTCCTCTGGTCGAAGCATAAGCTTAGAGCAAGGGGTCATGATTGAACAGGCCGAAGTATTCGTGCAGAATTAGGAGTGGTGTAATCTTTCATGTATGCTTCCTTGGTCCAGACATTAGTACGGAGTACCCTGTGGTGGGTCTGTGGAACATGTAGAGGATTCTGTTGATGTTGATTGGATCTGAGCACAGAGAAGGCTTTCGTGGTTTACTGCAGCAGGTTAGCCCATGCGGGGAATTCATAAAGGCTATAGAATTACCTCCAAAGCAGCAGTGAAGCTCTTCGCTTGACTTCAAAACTCCAGGCGTGGATCAAGGTCCTTCAGCGGTAGAGGACGGACCATCACATCTCTGAGCGATTCCTCAACCAACTCATCGAGTCTGTCATGGGTATGTCTCTGTCAAAAATTCAGAGTTAGCATTGATTGTGCAAGGCTTCCCAGAATGAAAGAAAAAAAACTGGATTGACAGAGGAAACATGGACTGCGAGAAACGTACGTCAAACTTGCCCTCCCCATCGCAAGTAGGATTTCCAATTTCGAGCTTGTCCGTCTTGACACCCTTCAAAGCAATCAGGAAGTCCTTATCTCTAGTGCTCATTCTAACTTTGCGGCGTCCGCAGAAACCCAACTTGAGCTTTAGAATTTTGCCGTGTTGGCTCAGATGATCGAGGACCCATAGGAGGTCCTTGTCGTAAGTATAGCGACGCTGGTTCGTAGTCGTGCCTAAAACTCTGGAGTCAGCATGCCCAATGAAAGACACACTCCTCATAGCACAAAATTGAGTCGTGAAACAGCTCTGAGGAAAATGACTGCGGCAAACAACCTTCCCGTTTTCAACTCAATAGGAAGGTATCTCTCTACTGAAATGGTATCATACCGGGGTTGCCTGACTGACTAGCGTCGTAGAAGAATACACCGACAGTTTGGATTAGGCTGATGTTCTTAGGTCCAATATCCGTCAAGAAGCGACGAACGTGGGTCCAACCGAGCTCATTCCATACAGGTCTACGCGAATTTGGGAGTCAGCATTGCTTATTTGAGGTAGGACATGGAGTTGCAAGACAGGTCTCGGGAGTAGAAAGGTCCTCTTGCCTCCGGAACTTGTCTTGCAACTCAATTCTAATACTAGATAGGAACGACCAGCTCTGAAATGAACGTACTCAAAGTAGGCTCCAGATTTGGAATGATTGTAACCAAAGACAAAGCGGTTTCCGCCATAGATGAACGCGCGAGCTTCGTTGTAGACGACTTTATTGACGCGAAGGAAAGCAGCTGAGTGGGCAAAGCCGCCGCGGTTCGTGAAGTCGATGGGCGCCTCTTTCTCGAAAACAAGGGCGTAGATTTTATCTAGATTGATACCTCGAGGTTAGCATTTCTTCTTCTAGACGAAAATTTGGGCACCGAAATCAGCCTTGGGAGTCGAGTGAGCTCTTCGATGCGAAGCTCGACCATTGTAGCTGCCAACGCGCTGCGTGTGGCAGTACTTGTAGTGTTACGCGATGGGGAAAGAAGCTCAAGAGGGAAGGACATACTGCGGATCTCTCCTGGAAGCTTCTCAAAACCAGCCTTTGTCTCATCATAAGATGAGTTCTTCTTGATGGCATTAGAGGGTACTAGTCTGAAACCAGGGGGCACGGCATCGAGGGCCCCGAAACCATAGGTCGCCACAGTTTTCGCAACCTGTGCCTCAGGCGAATCGACCTCACGCTCTGGCATCTTGTTGGTGGACGCTTCACTCATCGGGTGAGGAGGTGGTAAGCCGAGCATCTTGTTCCATTTCTGAACGGCTGCATAGATCTCTGGGTAGTAAGCCAGGCACGATGAGTCTGGCGGCGGTGGGGAAGCCTTCTTCTTAGCTTGAGCCTTGGGCTTTCCTCCAAGACGAGGCTTCTTGACGATGTGGCGATCTTCATCATCATCATCCTCACTCTTGCCTTCGTCCTCGCTGTCATGCTCATCTTTACTCTTGGCAACATCGATGCCTTCATCGTCGCTGTCGAAGAGCAAGGTGCTTGAATCGACATACCCGGGTTTCAGATGGACTTGCTTTGCTGAACGCTTGGGCCTATCGCCGCGCGAACTGGGCATTGCAGTGGTGACGGCAGGGTACTGTATTGAGAGTTAAAAATTTGACGCGTAACCTGAAGGTCGGACTAATCTACCTGCGGGACTTGCTTCTTATTTACCTGAGAGTGAGGTTTCACAATAGGTTGGCGAGCGTTAGTATAACTGGAGCCTGCCATTGGCATGAAAGACGAAAGACGTGGGTAAGTGGGGGGATCATTGGTGGCCATCTGCGATTTGTATGAGTATTCGTGTGATGAGCTCAAAATGTTGTGATTGGTCAACACAAGGATGATGGCTACCTCGTGCTACTACCGTACGGTGACGAGCGCGTTTGGTTCACAGTCAGCTCGAGGACAGTGGCTGCACCGAGGGACAGCTTGTGAGTCAGTCGCGAGGATGGATTCGATGAGGTTGGTGATAGACAGAGGTCGTGACTGGTAGAAGTGGATTGTGAAATTTCAAGGGTAGATGTTCCTAGTAGGAACGGGAAGTCGCACAACGCGGGTGCCGTTGGCGGCGGGGCCGAGGATGCTTAAACTACCTTAAGGTATAAGGTACCTTACCTTCCTCTCCATCCTAAGCTTGGCATGCCACACCTAAAGTGATGAAGGCACCACTTTCTCCTACTTGGCTCTCGCGAACGTGATGCATAGGCATCGATAACTTTTACATAGCCAATGATCAATGACCAAGAGAAAGGATGCGGCCATCCTCCACACTATCCTCAGATTCTTTTTCCATTTCATCATTATTTAACCATGACCATGGGGTAAAGGCTCCATGTGCAACTAGAACAAAGAAAAAAGATTGGCTTTGATTGAGTAGCAGTCGGATTTGACGACGCTACTCATCGTTCTTCTTTGTCAATTGAAAAGAGACATGAATTGCAAACGGCAGAGACAGAGACGACAAGCATGATAGACAAAAGCACACAGATTCAACATTTGACGGTTTGAGAGACTTAACATGAATCGTATTCTTCCAGAACTAGCCTCATTACATGGTAGGAGGAGACTTCATCTTTGTCAGGCTTTCTGATTCCCCCAAGGAGAGCGTGATGCACAACGAAACGCTATGGGAGCATTCGGGCCCTTCAAGTGGCAATCCTGGGCAACCTTCAACGCAAGGTAACATAGGTCAGAACCGAACAAAGAGCTGGATAGGGGTCATTTCAATTGTATACCATGGTGGAGGAAGAATAAGACAGTATGCTCGTCTTGACAGGGTTGGCGATTCTATAGCTGTATGGCGGTATCGTGACTGGGCTTGCAATAGAGGCATGCATAGGGTGAAGGGGATATAGAGAGCCGGTAGGTCTGCAGCTCTAAGAAAGGAGTAACAACAACACGTCCAATCAGAAAATCTCATAATGTCCCTTGTAAGGTGGTGAGTTGGACCCAGGACATCTCAGCATAGCCCACATCAGAGAGCTTGCACTGTCCAAGTGAGTGCTGCAGCAGCCATAGAAGTCATCTCATCATCTTGGATTGTAGTTGTTTGTTGGACGAAAGCTTTGTGGGCACAGGATTTTAAGACAGGCACGATCACAAAATCGTCTTAGATCCCGCGAGATCCCGCCGCTAAGCATGAAGCCTACCTTCCAGTCCCCACTCATATACTTCAGGTTGATCATGAGGTGAAGCTTTGCATGCTCTGAAGCATCAGCTTACACCATCAATGTTCAATATGAACATGTCTGTATGTACCAGATGTTGGTCTCGTACATTGTATGCTGCTGCCCGGAGGTCTCCATCTATCCAGTCCCTGGGCTCCCAGCAGTGGCAATGGCTGTCGAGGCGAGGAACGGCCTCTATGAGTTTGGAAGGTCAGCACAAGGTACCGTTTTTGTGGGAACTCCATGTATAATGATTCTGATGATGTCTAAGCTATTGGCTGCAAATCTGGAAGAAGCAGACCCTGCTGTTTATGAAATACTTCAAAGGGTACGCTATCATCCAAACGACAACCGCTTCCCACAATGGGCTCCAGAGGGATCCTCACTGACGCATGATATATAGGAGAAAAGACGGCAGAAACACTTCATCAACCTCATACCCTCCGAAAACTTCACTTCACAAGCAGTTCTCGATGCCTTGGGCAGTATCATGCAAAGTACGCCTCTTTAAGTTATGCATAGGAGAAATGAGAGCTGAAAGGGATTCAACAAATAGACAAGTACTCGGAAGGGTACCCAGGGGCCCGATACTATGGCGGTAATGAGCACATAGACGAGTCAGAGAGACTTTGCCAACAAAGAGCTTTGGAGACGTTTGGCCTAAGCGAGGAAGAATGGGGAGTCAATGTGCAACGTACGCTCTTGAGCGGACTTGACGTGCGTGCCTTGCTAACGTGCGAATCAATAGCCCTCTCTGGATCACCCGCAAATCTTTATGCCTACTCTGCTCTTCTTAATTCGCATGATCGAATCATGGGTCTTGATCTCCCTCACGGCGGACATCTGTCTCACGGATACCAGACTCCCACCAAGAAGATATCCGCGATCTCAAAGTATTTCGAGACCCTACCTTATAGACTTGACGAGTCGACGGGTCTTATCGACTACCAGAAGCTCGAAGAGCTGGCGATGCTGTACCGCCCAAGAATCATCATCGCCGGTACTTCAGCGTATAGCAGACTTATCGAATATGCACAGATGAGAGAGATTGCAGAAAAGGTGGGGGCATATCTGCTTAGCGACATGGCTCATATATCAGGCCTTGTGGCCGGAGGTGTCATTCCTTCTCCATTCCCCCACTCAGACGTCGTCACTACTACTACCCACAAGTCGCTGAGAGGTCCGAGAGGGGCCATGATATTCTTCCGCAAGGGCGTCCGTAGACAGGATAAGAAAGGCCACCCAGAGATGTACGACCTCGAAGGTCCAATCAATGCTTCGGTCTTTCCAGGTCACCAGGGCGGGCCTCATAACCACACCATCACAGCTCTTTCAGTTGCTCTACATCAGGCGCAGAGCCGCGAGTTTAAGGACTATCAGAAAACCGTGTTGTTGAACGCAAAGGCTCTGGCCGAGCGCTTGGGCAATTCTAAGGAGAAGGGCGGTCTAGGATATAGTGTTGTCTCGGGAGGCACTGATAATCACTTGGTGCTCGTCGACCTCAAGAACAAAGGCGTAGATGGAGCCCGTGTAGAACGTGTGCTTGAGCTCGTGGGCGTTGCCAGCAACAAGAACACTGTACCGGGCGACAAGTCAGCTATGAAACCAGGCGGACTGCGAATGGGCTCACCTGCTATGACCACCCGAGGATTGTTGCCGGACGATTTTACAAGAGTTGCTGAAATTGTTGATCGTGCTGTAACAATAACGCAGCATCTGGACAAAAAGGCCAAGGACGAGTCTGAGGCGAAGGGACGGAAGAATCCTGGAAGCGTGAAAGCCTTCGTGGAATTCCTTGGTGATGGCAATGAAGTGCGGGAGGTTGTTGAGCTGAGGAGGGAAGTTGAAGAGTGGGTTGGCACTTTCTCACTGCCTTGGATTAAATGAGGATCTTAGAATTAGGCAAGCCCCCACTGCTTCTCGTGCTTTTGTCGCACTGCATTTAAGAACGTCTCCTGGGTTTTACCTCAACGGAACACCATTTCAGGAATACACAGCCTGACTTTTCCACATCTATCATTAAGTCTCCAAGCACTCGAGTCGTCTTGACGGTTCTGAAAAGTGTCTGTAACACCTAACGATAGCACCGAAGTAGTTGAGTCCCTTCAGTTCGATATCTAGCTACTCCACTCTCTGCTGAAAGGCGACCACACAGTGGTTTGATGTTCATTAGGCAGCATCAAAACATCAACTTCATACCCACCAAAAAGTTCTTCAATCGCCAGTATGCATTCCGCTCTACCTCTTCATGTGGTAGTAGTCCTCGTCTTCGTGGTGTTCGGCCTCGTTGCCACAACTCAGGCCCTTCCAATTCGGAATATGGGGCTCGCGTCATCCAACAGTATCGTTGAAGTCACCCGAGTACAAGCCAGGCACTGGTGGGATGGGCCTGGAACTCAGACCGCGACAATTCTCCTCTTAGTATTCGGGTTTTTCAGCGGTGCAGCGCTGATAGTACACTTATACCGACTCTACTCGTTTGTAGGTCTTACCATTCCGTTCATCTATTCATAGTGGAATCGTCCTCATAGCTGGCAGCGACGTACAAAGACAGAAGCGGCGGAGGAGTTTGAGATGGCTTGAGGCTACGAACTTGCAGTCAGCTAAGGAACCAAGTGGCCTGTCTGAACACGGGCATACTGTCGACTCGCATTGATACGACGTCCTCCTACTGCGCCTTTGTCCACAACATGATACATCTCTACCAATGAAGGCTACACCATCCATTCGACAACTGAATCAATCCAGAAGCTAAGCTCTGTTAGTACATTATACTCTGGTCGAGCAACAGAAGGTCAGCGGAGCTTGTCAGAAGATTGTTGTGCTATTATTTGAGGAGAGGTTCTCAGCAATGCCCGCGTCTGTACTCTAAACCGACTTTCCCTATGAGGTGCTTCCAGGTCTTCACATTCCCTGAAGAAACGGATCATTGCTGACTTTGCTGACCTCGAGAACCTTCATGCCGCCATTTCATTTCTGTCCCGAAATCTTCCCCTTTCAATCGCCACATGTCCCATGTATACCCGCATCGGAGAGAAGGATTGGGTCAGCAAAGAAACCATTCTCTCCCCCTCCAGATTTGCGCTCCTTTCTACGCATTGTCCTCTTGTTCGAATACACAATCGCCATGTTCCGGCACAAAGGACTTTCTTTTTCAACCGAGGCCGACAAAGCATTGTGAGCCAGCATTGTCTTTCCTCTCCTTAAGAATCCCCCACGTCCCCATCGTTGAATCCAACAACCCCCAGCTCTAAACTCTCCAGCCTCCAACTTACCTCCCTCTCTCCCTCAATCCAGTTGCATACCAAGTCGCAGCAGACAAGCATCCAACCAAGAGAGACCTCCCCTGTGACAATGTCTGACTTCATCAACTCCGTCATCCTCACCACCAACACCCACCCCTATACTTTCGGCCTTGTCATTTTCATCCTAGCTCTTTTCGCCGCCTTTGCCCTCGTCGTCGTCAGCATGACAGGTCTCCACTATGAGTGCGACTGCGAAGAAAACAGCCCAATCTTCACCGACCAGGAGACCCGTCCGCTGCTCGACAGCCAAGACCCATTGAAGGACTATCCCTTCGGGCGGTACGTAACGCGCACTGTCTCGGCTAAGCGAGCGAAAAAACAGTCGGTCAACCGGGCAATTTTGAGGCAGATGCTCGAGGCTGATTGGGTAGAATCCTCGTATGGAACGATTACTGCTGCGCCGAGGGTGGGGGAGAAGAGAAAGATGAGGGACGACGGGATGGGGAGGGGCAAGCGGATTAGGATGGAGGAGAGCTCCGAGGAGGATAGTGAATGGTAGGTAACTTGCTGGTGAGTCGAGCTGATGGTGGGAGTTCGAGTTGGTGGAGTGATGATGATGTGGAAGAGTTTTGCTGCTCAATTACACATCGAATTTTGGGAGATAGGAATCAATCTCAACTTGCTCTCTTTTGTGAACAAACTGATTTGCATTCCAACACTGACCGCTTCTCCTGCATTGCACTCATGAAATCCTAACAAAATGAACGTTTGTTCATCCTCGAAAATGTTGAAGACTTACGATCTGATATTTCGTCCCATTCTACATCATTGCATCAACTATTTTCAACCCTTAGCACAAACTACCGCCATCTCCTGCCCCCTCTCGCCAATCTAATCCCCCACCAAACGCTCACACTCCCGGCAGAAACCCAAGAACAGTCTCCCGATCGCCCCTATCAATCATCGCGAGCATCTCCTCGTCCACAAGCTCAGCACGTACCCGCGCCGGGCAAACGAACCAATAAAGGCCGGCGATGGCGTCCGCGTCGACGCCGGACATCAGGGACACCCAGTGCGCCGTCTTCGGCGCACCCGCCAGGTGGGACGCCACGAAGACGGCGACCGCCGCGACGGACGGCGGAGCGTGGCCCGCGAGCGCGCACGCGACGTGGATCTTCTCGGCGAAGCGCTGGGAGACGGCGATCGTCTTCGAGCTGGAGGTGAAGTTGAGCCGGTAGCTGTAGGTTTCGCACATGGCTTTTACGGTCTGCAGGTCGGTGCCGGAGCGGTATTCGACCTCGCTCGTCACGCTCGCTCCCTCGTGGATATCCTCTTCAGACACCTCTTCGTCGTCGTCGTCGTCCTCCTCCTCCGCCATTGTGTTTCCCCGGTGTTCGAGATTCGAGCTGACAGGGGATCTCGGAGCGCTGTCAGAGGATCGGGGGCTGTAGTCTGGCGATCCTGGAATGTTGCCTCCGCCAATGTCTGGCCCCCAACCTTGATCGTCGTCATCCTCCGCTCCATGATAATACAGGCGGCCGAAATCCCGATTGACAGGGTTGAAAGTCCAAGCGTTGTCAGCGTTGTAGTTTGGCGATCCAGGACCGTCGTACTCACCACTGTCTGACATGTCAAAGTGATCTTCTTCTATAATCCCATGCTCGAGGTACGGCCGAGGCTGTGCGGGAAAGAAGACATACCGACATACGGGGCACGAGTTGTTGGCGGCGCCTGTGGGATCAAGCCAGGTAGCAATGCATCGGGAGCCTACCTTGTGGTCGCACGGGAGGCGCATTTCCCACTCGACGATGCCGCTCTCGTCACAAAGCGTGCCGCATTCTGTTAGACAGACGATGCATCTTTCGCTGCTGTTGGGCTCCACGCTGTTCTCGACTCTAAGCAGCTGGCTGAGGAACGCCGCTGCCATTGTGGGAAGTTGCAAGGTTCGTTGATGGCGAGGTCGAGTATTCAGTGTATGCTGGTCCCGAACCGTCAATTTGGAGAGGTGGGTTAGCGAAGGCTGGTCAGGTGTATGAGAAAGTGAAGGAAGATCAGTAAGAGATGGGATTGGATGAGTGTGGGTGCAAAGTGTTAATATATATAGGTTGGGTGTAGTCCTCGACAAAGAGCGCTTGAGCATGGCATTGTGTCGATGAACCTAAAGCGTGGCTCTAGTTCTCTTTGTCGAGCCCTGTGCACTTACCTCTTTGTGCGAGGCAGTCACCGTACAGCATTCCATGGAATAGTCCAGGGCCGACGAGTAGGGAATGTAGATGAGAGAGGTTTTTCACGTGTTATTTGGGATACTAACCAAAAATGCAGCCATTATTCAGCTTTCAGATTCCGCACAACCTTCTCCAACCATTTACCAATTCGTGATATCTCATCCGCTCCTTTTTCTCCAGCTTGGTTCTCACCTGTATCACGCCTTACTTTCCGGCCAGGACGTCTGGCCAGCTTTACGTGAGCGTCAGTGATCTCAACGTTCTGATGTGCCTTCGACGCCTTTTCGCTCTGCTCATATGCTTCGCCGGCAACATCGACGGTGCATGTCGTGGCTAGGACGATGTAAAGAGCGAGGAATGTGCCGATATCGTAGCATGTATACTTTCCAGGCGTCTCGTTCTCAGAATCGCATACATGAGTAGATGTGACCGAAGTATTCGATGCGGAACCCTGGGTGGTCGAGTGATCCATCTTGGAGACGAGATTAGCGTGATTCTGGTGTTGCTTTGGTTCGATGGTTGAGACGCGATTGGTGTGTTTTAGAGACTGCACCCCTGTGGAAGAGTATGTGAAGAGGTTGCTGCTGAGGAAGAGAGGAATTATCGGGTAGGTAGCAAGTTTTAAATGTCGAAGAAGGCTATGAAGTGAAAACAAAAGCAACAAAGACGTGGTGCTCTTTCACTTGTAATAGTTTTTTTATAAAGAACGTCTGAGTCACAAAACCTCAGGCAACAATAGAACACACTGGAATTGTCAACACCTCTTTGTCAACACGAGTCGATACAAAACACGCTTCGGAAGCTTCAATCCAGACTTGACAGCTTCAGGCCTGCTTAGCTTTTATGAATTGTTTTCTGCGCCTCGTCCGAATCCTTTGTAGGCCATTGACCATCCACATATCTCTAGTTTGCTTACCTGCCACACCCAGACTTCTTCAAACTCCGGACGATATGAGTCGTGTCTACAACGTAAACAACCCTGACCCCCGCAGAGCGCCAGACTTGGCCCCACGACCCACATTTGGCCTATGGGACGCAATATTCTTCCTTGACCAGCATGGTACGTCTTTGAGCCAAGCTGATGAGGTTATCTTTGGTCACTGGGATGACTATGCCGATCACACCGTCAATATCTTACACCAGATGATCAAACAGACAGAGGGACTGATGTTCTCGGATGATGAGTACACAGATCTCGTGCGGACTTTTCAAGCTTTCCCACACCGACCCAATCTATCGAATGTGCTCAGAGACAACATGTATGACGAGCACGAGTGTATTGTAAAAACGCTGGCCGACCTGGCTCAGACACCCGTTCAGAAGGTCTGGCACATGTGGGCTACCAGAGTCGAGGAAGTTCATCAAGGTCTGGCCGAGAAGATGAACCGCTGCAAGCTACAGCTTGCTCAGCAGGGTG